ATCACACACACATATCACACATATATCACATGTACTACACGTGTATCACACGTATCACACATCACAGGTATCACACACACATATCACACACATATCACACACATATCACATGTATTACACATATATCACACACACATATCACACATATATCACATGTACTACACGTATCACACGTATCACACATCACAGCTATCACACACACATATCACACACATATCACACACATATCACACACATATCACATACACATATATCACATGTATCATACATATATCACACACATATCACACACATATCACATGTACTACACACATCACACACACATATCACACACATATCACATACACGTATCACACACGTCACACACATATCACACATGTATCACACACATGTATCACACATGTATATCACACACATATCTCACACATCTCACAGATATCACACAAGTGTACCACACACATACACACACTTATCACACATCACACACACATATCACATGTATCACACACATATCACACACACACATCACACACATGTATCACACATGTATCACACATATATCACACATATATATCACACATATATATATCACACATATATCACACATATATATATCACACATATATCACACATATATATCACATGTATCACACATATATCACACATATATATCACACATATATCACACACATATATCACACACATATATCACACACATATATCACACATACATATCACATATATCACACACATATATCACACATATATCACACATATATCACACATATATATCACATGTATCACACACATGTATCACACACATGTATCACACACATGTATCACACACATGTATCACACATATATATCACATATATATCACATATATATCACATGTATCACACACATGTATCACACACATGTATCACACACATGTATCACACATATATATCACATATATATCACATGTATCACACACATGTATCACACACATGTATCACACACATGTATCACACATATATATCACATATATATCACATGTATCACACACATGTATCACACATATATCACACATATATCACACATATATCACACATATCACACACACATATATCACACATATATCACACATATCACACACACATATATCACACATATATCACACACACATATATCACACATATATCACACACATATCACATATATCACACATATATCACACACACATATATCACACACACATATATATCACACATATATATCACATGTATCACACATATATATCACACATATATATCACATGTATCACACACATGTATCACACACATATATCACACATATATCACACATATATCACACATATATCACACATATATCACATATATCACATATATCACACACACATATATCACACATATATCACACACACATATATCACACACACATATATATCACACATATATATCACATGTATCACACATATATATCACATATATATCACATATATATCACATGTATCACACATCACACGCACCAACCCCCCCGCTGTCCCCTCCCGTCCCTTGTGCGCATGCGCGGGCTGGCCCCGCCCCGCCCCGCTGGCCCCGCCCCTGCCCCCGCCCCTGCTCCCCCTCCCGCCGGCGCTGCGGCCGCTCCGCTCCGAGGCCGCGGCGCGTCCCCGCCATGGCCGCCCGGGCCCCCCGCTCCCCTCCGGCTCCTCCTGCCCCCCGCCGTCCCCCGCCGCCCCCCGCCGCCCTCCTGCTCGCCCTGCTCCTGCTCCTGGCCGGGCCGCTCGGCGGGGTCCGCGGTGAGTGAGCGGCGGCGCCGGACCCGGCCCGCACCGGGCACAACATGGCGGCG